GACTGAGAGAATAAATGAGGGAAGAACTTTTAATCAGTTCAGTTAGGGTTCAGTGGGGGAGATGTAAGCCCCTGCTGTGCACATGGGGCCATCAGCCTTACTGAGCAAGAAAACTGTCCTTGAGTATATATGGTTGTGAACAGGCAGAAGAGACTTAGTCTGCTACAGACACACACCTGCTGACAACGGAGCCTGCAGACCTGTTTTTTAGAAAGGAAAGAAAAATTGCATGCCCTCTATCAGCTGTCCAATGATGAGGATGCAATAAAGGATTTAGAGTCAAGAAGGTCTGTATTCAAATCCTGACTCTGCCACTTTTCAGCTGAGCAAGTTAATAATGTCCTGAAGCCTCAGTTCCCTCATCTGTAAAGTAGGGACGATAGAAGTTCCTCCAGCCTGAAGCTGCTGTGAAGAGGCAAGGAGGCAAGGCACCTGATGCAGTGTCTGGAACGAAGATTCAACAATGGTTCCGACTGGCGTCATTGTGATGTTCTGATTTACTTTCTAGAATTCACTTTTACTTACTGCCTTCAGATTTTAGCATTATATTTGTTTTAGTGCCACTGTCAGCCTGCTCCTGCTACTCTGCTGTGGTCTTCAAAATTTCACTCCCTTTTCCACAATAAGAATAACCCCTCAGACTGAAGCCCCCCTAAAAACAAGGTCACTTCCCATTTGTTACCCACTGGCCTTGACAGCCTTGGGGGCTTTCTGGAAGAGCAATTACCTTGCGAATGGAGGCCCCGCTCCATGACCCCATGTTTGACTTTCATGTGGCGAGTCAGGTTCCCCTTCAGGGTGAATTTGCTTGGGCAGTAGAGGCACTTGAAGGGTTTGCTGTCGGAGTGCAGGTGCATGTGGCCCATTAGGTTGTGCATCCGGTTGAATTCCTTCCCACACAGCTGTCAGAGACAGTGACAAGGAGAACACAGGTTACTCGCAGGCAGGGGACCGTGCCCAGGTGAACCCACACCCAGGGGTGCTGCTACTTTGGATTTGGGCAGTTTAAGTTGCTTCCAAAGAAAATGTCCCTGTGGAAATTGGGGAGGGGCTGGATTGTGTCCAGGCTCAGAAGTAAAGAAGTAGGAACGGATCACAGAGCTATTAAAGCTATTAAAGTGTCTTTTGAATACGATCTTTTGAAAGGGAGAAAAGCTGATCTGAAAAGCAATTGCTCAAAGTGTGCTTCACCTTCATAAAAAAAGTTACAATTACTTGTTTAATATTTATGGAGCATTTACAATACAGAAGGCACTGTTGTAAGTCTGCCATGGAATATCTCACTTAGTTTGCACATCAATCCTATGAGATGAGTGTTGTTATCATCCTTATTTTGCAGATGGACAAACTAAGGGATTAAGATGAAGAGATTGGCCAAGGCACACAGCTAGTAGGTGCTAGAGCTAGGATAATGAACTCAGGTCATCGGATACCAGAAGCCACATGGTCAATCACCATACCACACTGTATCTGCACCCTGCCCCTGCCCTCTATTAGACGATATCTATTAGATCCTCTATTAGACGATATCAGGCAATGCTTTTCTAATTTTTAAATTAGCTAATTATTGGAATGAATTTCAAAGTTAAAAGGAACAAAGACACATGTAAAGGAAGGAGTATGTCTTTTCTCTGTGTAGAGATTTGAAGTACTGAACATATTATCTCAGGCATACAAAAAGTAAACATGTTTTATTCATTTTTTGGTCATTTCTCTCATTTCCATCAAAGTGTAATGCATAATGGACAACAAAAGCGGTTCTCCAACTTCTTTCAGAAGAGAAACTGGCTTAAAAGAATGGGTAGACCTAACAAATAGTGACCTTGGGAGATTAACCCAAAAGAATGCTGGGTGGTCAGTGAGAGGAAGCCAGCCTGGGATTACAAATCTGTCACAGATAATCCATGCATGGTTAACGAATGGTTGGTTCTGTATTTTTAAATGATTCAAATTGAAGGGATTTAAGTACTTTTTCACTTTTTACTTCTTTACTAGCAATAATGAATTCAGCATTCTGGTGTCCCATCCTCAGTATTCAGAGTATCTGCACACCACATTTATTTGGAAAAGGTGAACCAAGAGGGGAAAGGCTGAGATATTTGGTCTAATTTAAACATCCTCAGAAGCCCTACATGTGAGATATATACTTGCTTTCTTTTATTCTCAATAGAGACAACTTATTAAGATATAGCAACTTGTAATTCAGCTTGGCACATGTGTACGAGTTCTGGTAGAGTTCTATTTATTAGCTTAGTTTATGTAGTTCTCCATCCTGGCAAAGGGAAAAAAAAAAAAAAAAAAGCTTTGAATCTAGAGATTCTACATTAGGTATTTCCAGTTATGGGTCATTTTAGAAAAGGTATATCTCATTTGGTTCATAATATGGTTCCTGATTATTTGGATGATGTTGCAGCAGAAGATCTGAAAACAGCAAAATCCGTGAGTAGTTGAGCACAAGACACACAGGGGAGAGGAGCTAGGCCTAAATGGGTCTCACAGTCTCTTTGAATCTAGAGATTCTACATTAGGTATTTCCAGTTATGGGTTATTTTAGAAAAGGTATATCTCATTTGGTTCATAATATGGTTCCTGATTATTTGGATGATGTTGCAGCAGAAGATCTGAAAACAGCAAAATCCGTGAGTAGTTGAGCACAAGACACACAGGGGAGAGGAGCTAGGCCTAAATGGGTCTCACAGTCTTATAGGCCAGACAGAGAGAACAACTGGAAGGATGAGATGGGTACCTTCTTCACTTGGCTCCCATGAAGGAAGAAATTCCACTTTTAGTTATTATCTACGATTGCTGAGGTATTAGAAGTTGGACTGGTCCAAAAGGGTTTTATAAAAGAGATAGAATTTTAGCCTAACTTTGAAGAATGTGTAGAGTGCCTTTGTTTTGACACAAGAATAAAGTTTTTTCATTAAGTATTTTGGACACCTCATTCAACCTTAAACTACAGTCCAGGTAACTTTCACTGCTGCGACAGTGATCAACTGCTAGTTGTTGTCGCAGCTGCTGTGACTTTGGGGTCAGAGCAGATCCTGCAATTCACTTGCCCCAAGGTCCCACCTACCTTCCTCCTCACCTCCCCACTCCCCCACACAGAGGTATGCACACATCACAGTGGCTACCTCTGGGTATTTTCCACAGACTTCCTCAGACTTAGATAAGCAAGTTTTTATGATCCTTTATCATAGCAGTATGTTTTTATATTTTAATGTTTTTCTGGCTCAATTCATTCACTACCGAACTTCCTGGGACATTTCAGGGGTATATAGGGACATTAGGACATTAAAATAATATTGTTTCCTGAAGTCAAGGCCTATAGCCTCAGGAAAGGTCCACTGTGGGACATGATTGGTCAGTTATATTATCTAATGTATGATCGGTAAAGAAGACTGATTTCTGTGCTGTTGGTAAAATATAATTTTTATGTACCAGAGTTATCCTTCATGGTTTATGGTAACCTACTGGACCAGCCAATGGAGAGCTTTCCCAGGGCTCAGTGGAGATGCATCGACTGTAAAAGATGTTTGGGACAGTAAAAGGTGCCTAGACCATCTTCAATGGAGAAGCATCGACTGTAAAAGATGTTTGGGACAGTAAAAGGTGCCTAGACCATCTTTGTGGCTAACCTCAGTATCAAGCAAAAGAGTACATACATAGTAACACTTAATAAATATCTAAGTTTTTTTGTTGTGGGAATAAAAGAACAAGTCAGGAAAATATCACTATCCCATGTAGAAATTCCAAAAAGCAGCCATCACCAACTTTGCTCCTTTCCCCACTATCTTGTGTATAACCCTATACACAGTAGCGTGTAAACCAAAATCCTCAGTGGCAGAAGAATAGAAACAATTAACTCAGGACCCGAGGTACTAGGACACCATTCACATTTCAGTGGTAGGCACTCGTAGCTTCTTCCTCTCAGCCCCTGACTCTTCCATAAAGCCCTTCAGTTCTTATCAGAACAACTGGCCTCTTCGCCTTTCTCAGCATATTGTCCTTACGTGACAATACATGAGTGTACGGAGATATTTTGTGTCAGTGAAATTCAGAGAGTGGCCTCTCAGTCACTGTTAGTGAAGAGGAGCCAGAGAAAGAAGATTGGGTCAATTAACAATGGCACCCTTGGGTGGGGTTTGAGATATGAGCTCTAAGCAGAATTGCTGTAGTGGAGGAGGGAAGAAGAAAGGCTGAGAAAGAGACCAAAACTCTTGTTCTTTCTCCTGGAAAAAGCAGACATCTATTTCAAGGCCCCCTTTAATCATGAGGTATGAGGCTCAGAGCTTGCCCGAGTCAATATTTGCTGAATCATCTTCTGCTAAGTTCTACGAAGATTAAAATAGGGGCAGGTGTTGGTACAGGAAGCTACTGGTGTGGTGAGGACTCAGATGTCATCTTGCAGACGGTCAGCTCAGTCATTCTAATGAGGGGCCTTACTGTGCCTGACATAAATCTCAGCTGGTCCATCGATACTCATTTTTATACCTATTTTTTAAGAGGGAGGTGGACCTCAACATTTAATAGAAAATTGCAACGAACGTTTTGAACTGTCCTTTACAAAGAGGTCGCGCAGATCATGAAGTTTTGTGATGGCAGAGCAGAGAGGTGATGGTGAGACCGCAGAGGAATAGAGGACTTGTTCCATTTTCTGTTCTATAAAATGTTGATGATAATAATGGTTTCTTATGAAGGGTGTTATAAGGATCAAATGAAACAATTCATGTAAAGGGCTTGGCAAATAGAGCTCAATAAGTATTAGCTTTTATTACTATCATTATCATGTACACGGTAGACTCTTTTACATTCCAGGAATAGGAATAGGAAGATCTTTGAAGATGAGGGTGCTGTCTTTTTAAACCACGTTATTTGGAGGAAATATTAAAGAAAAAACCAAATGATGAATCCTTTGAGTAAATATCTGCCAGGTTACTTGAGGCATAATAGAAGTAGAAGCAGTTGTGCCTAACCCAGCACTGAAAAATGTGGACAGAAAGAGAAGATTCAGCCTAGATTGCAGGCTTTGGGAGAGCCCATTATCTGGCTCCCTGATCACTAGTCAGCCCTTTAGACAGCCAGCAGGTGCCCTGTTCCTCATCTTCATAGGAGTTCCAAACTCCAGCCTCCTCATGCCCCTTCCCTTCCTGGCCCAGGCTCTAGAGATGTCTCAGGCACCTCCCCATGATCCCCAGCGACAATGCGGATAGCCAGAGCCACCAAGAAGTTAGGTCAGTTTTGTGCAGAGACAGGGAAGCCACTGGGCTGTGGCCAGAGGCCCACAAAGCCAAGAAGAGGCATGCTATTTCTTGCCAACCAGCCTGATCTGAGCCTGAGGACTGAGATGCACCAGGAAGCCTGTGTTTTCCTATTCTTAGAGAAAAGGTCAAAAAGCTGCAGCCTGCAGCTGAGGAGAATGGCCTCCGCTAAGCTGCCCTTCCCTTACATTCTTCTCTCTCTCTTTTAATAAGAAGGGTGTTCCTTTCCTCAAAGAGAGAGAGAGAGGGAGGGAGGGAGAGAGAGACTGTAAACTGTCCAAGAGGGCCGTGAGAAAACAGGAAGCTTTGAAAAGTACAAGAGAAAGCAAGATGAAATCTATTTGCAGGCGGGCCCCTGGGGACATGTGAGGCATTGTTAAGCAGGCAGTTCATACAGCTATATCCTTCCTTCTGCTGAGGAGGGCTTTGCTGCCAAAAGGCTGCTTGCTATCTGGTCACTGCCTTAACCCCCTCAATGCCAGCCTGAGAACCCTGGTCCCCAGCACTGGGTCCCTAAAAGTCCCCACGTGGTTTCTCCCCAATGAGGCATCCAAGAGCTGGAGGGAGAGATGGAGCCTGTTCGGTGGAGGTGGTGGGGACTTTTTTCAAGGAGACCTCATCCTCGTCTATCAGCTCTGCCCTTAGCCTTCAGGCCTCTGTTTTAGACCACGCTGCAGATGACCTGGTGATTCATAACTTAGGCAGCTCCCGGCTTCACCCATCTCAAAGGAGAATTTGTCCCGGAAATTCTGGATGGCTGCTTTTCCTGGACAGGTTTTCCAAAGACGGCAGCTGGTTCTTTGCTTTTATGGAGTGTGGCTGCTACAAGGATAGCATCCAAATCCACCCCTGCATGCTTACGCAGAATCTGGGAAGCATCTTTCTGAAAAAGGGCTTAAGTCTATAGGCACAGGTCTGTGGAGAAGCTCCAGCTGGCTCCAAGAAGCAAGGACTCCAGAAGTCGAGCCAATAGCAAAAAGCCCAGAAGGGCAGTATTTTTTTATATTAACCAAAAAAAAAAGAAAAAGAAATGAAAAAAAGAAAAAAGAAAGGAACATGGAATGGAAACCTTTCCTCTCCTCTAATTTTCCATTCTATTGTTAATGCTTAATCCCATAGCGAATGAACTTTGCTGCTTGTTGTGGACAGCTGTTTCCACTGAGCCCAGGGCCGGAGAGAACCAGTTCATGTTGCAACAGGAGGAGGGGTTTATTTTAGGAAGGATTTTTAGTGGTGAGAGTCCCAAGAAATTAGAATTTGTTACTTAAAGAATCTCCCTTTTTTGCAAGTTTTAGAGTAAAGGAGACAAAGCTAACTCATGGAGTATGGCGAGAGCAAGGCCTGTACTTTTTTTTCCAACATGTCAATCATATGAAGATGATAAAGCCCAGGTTTAGTTGACTGGGCCTCTTTTCCACCATCACTGTGCAGCCAGCCAGCCACTTATCTCTGCTAGCTATGAATTGCACAGTGATAAGCAAATGGCCCTCCATTCCTCTCCCTACTCCCTCCACCCAGGGCCAGTTTTTAAGAATCCACACAAAATAGATGGGAAGCAAAGTCCACAGGACACCATCTTGAGACGGCCCACCCCACCGTAGGATCTGGAGCTACTTTACCAACACAGATCCCCATTACATAATCTATAAAGTCACACATGCTCTGAAATTCTTTTGAAATGAAGAAGGGTGATGGTAGGAAGAGGACAACAAGCAGGGTGGCACTTTGCAGATATATGGGAACAAACAGAGGAAGAACCTGGCAGTATGCTTTTGGCACTTTCCAGGAGACTGAGGGTTCTTGATCAAGGTGACCAACACCCGTTCTTGTTTCAGAAATGTTTAAGAATGGAGACGGGCCACCTAAGTTTGACAAAAATACCCTTTTTGTTCTAATCACAGATATACTTTCTTAGGCAGTGTGGGCTGGTGAGGGAACCTATAATGTGACCTATAATGTGGGCTGGTGAGGGAACCTACCCGCCAGGAAGAAAAGATTTTTGCAGATAGATAACCAGTCCAATGCCATGCCAATCTTTCATTGGAAAATATAAACTGTGCATTGTTTCAGAATTGGCATTTCATGCTACGAGCCCTTCTTTTATGGGAGCCAATGATGTGACCAGACATCCAGAACCTAATGCACCCTCAAGAATAAGTCAAATTGAGTTTCTGAACCGTAAAGTTGACCATCAGATGCCATCTGGACCATGCGTGGTGCACTATCACTAGAGTGGAGGAGGAGGGGGCAGTTGTTCATGAGCGGAGGCCTGAAACATCAAGCTAGGCTGGCTCACTGCATTATTGAAGGCTGGTTGCACTGCATTGTATAGTCTTCTATGCACTGGTACCAGAGAGAATCTTCTAAATCTTCAGAAACCACCTGGTCCAAGAAATCCTCTAGGTCTCTCTGAGGCCCTTGAAGTAGAGAAACAGAACTGCCTCTGTGCCTCCAAATCATGCCTGCAAGCCCCTTTCCTGTATTGGCTCTGCCCCCTGACATATTCCTCTGTTTCAGAGACGTTTTCTGCCCGGTTTGCCCACTACTGCTGGACCTGAATTGATGAGGTAGAGGTAGGAGTTGGTTGGACTGGACAGATGTGAATTTTTAGGGGACTGCAAACTATGCAATGGCACCCTTCATGTTTTAACAATTTTATGTGCTATCTACCACCAGTTGATAAGATAAAAAATACAGTACATGCTCAAAGTCCAAAAGGAAACTCAACACAAGGAGTGAAGAGTGGCAAAGAGCTCCTGTTAGCACCTCCATTGTAGGAGACAGTAAACCCCTGTCAGGTGGGAACAGCTCTGTTAAAAGTGAAAGGCTCCTGGGGCTCAGTGAGGTGGGAAGGCAATCAAAAACGTGCCTGAAGAGAGAGAGAGAGGAGGTGGTCTGTGGCGTCTATCGTCTCATGCAGCCAAAACTAGCTTCATGGGTATGCAACTTGTGCAGTCCCACAGGCCCCAAAACTCAGAAGGGTCCTGAGTTTGGTGTAATGTCCTTCTTGAAATTCTCCATAACATTTGAACAAGGGGCCCGACATTTGCTCCTTGTACCAGGCCCATCCTGCATGCAGCTTCATCCCCCTTCAGCTCAGATGACCCAAGATGGACATAAATTGACTTTCAAACCATTGGAAACTTGAAGGAAAGGAGGGGAAACACAAGTAGGTGGCAGGAAAAGGGCTGGAGGGAGAAACCTCCTTCCCCCACCTCCGGAGAATGCCCACACAGGTCTGGGGAAGCTCTGGTTCCTGACCCTTCTCACCCCGTCCAGGACTGGCCAACACCGGAAAGAAGTCAGCTTCACAGGGGGTTCCTTCAAGTGAGGAGACACATTGCAGAGGATTAAGTCAGGAACAGCCCCTAGAAGCAGGGCACCCTACTTCAGAAATAGGGATTGACTGAGAATATATTTGGACCCTGTCAGACATGCAGCAACAGAGAGAAGGAAAATATCCGTTTCAAACAGAAAGGCTGTAATGATATCTGAGTGTGGTGATTTCCCTCTTTTTCTCCCTCAGCCCCTCTCCTCGTGACCGGGGGTATCATGGCTGGCACATTCCTCGAATGAAACTACCCTATCCTGAGCAAGATTCCTTTTCATTTTAGAAGTGGAGAAGGAAAATGATGTGGGATGGGGAGGGACAGCGTGGGAAGCCCAAACATTTCCGAGTAATACCAGTCAGTGTCTTGGGTTTTACAAATCTCCAGCTCACATGTGATCTCAGCTGATGAAATAAAAATCCAACCAAGTTAATGTGACACAGATTTTAACAAAGACACTCCACGGTCCTTAGGAATCAATGAGAAATGCTTCAGATGACTGTGCTCACAGTTATTCCCCAGTCCAAGCAAGTACTTCTGAGGTCATCCAAGGGCCGATCTCAGAATCTCTTTCATCCTCTTTAGGAAACCTGCCCTCAAATTACACCGCTCACCCCAAGTGTCAGGGGAACAGGAGGATGTGATAGAAGCTTCTCTGACTCCTTTCTGTGTTCTACTCTTTGGCCTGTAAGGGGAAGAGGGCTACATCTGATTATTCCTTGCTAGAACAGGATCACATCATATCACCTTCATCCTCTGACAAACTCATTCCCTGAATGAGCCTTCCACCCTCAGACCTCCCCTACTGGCTGCCTCCCTCCCCTGGGCACTGGTTCCACAGTGAGAGGGCAGGCTCCTCAGAGCCCAGCTGAGGGCTGCTGTGAGCATAGGTGCGGTGGAAAGAGGGACAGAGCAGCACATAGACTTGGGGTTGGTCATGGACCTACTCTGAGCCTCGGTGGCCCCACTGACGAAATGGAGACTCTTCCCCATTAGGCATTTGTACAACCCTCAGAGTCCTTCATTTCTGCACTCTCCCAGGGGCCCCAGCCCACCTTGCATTTGAAAGGCTTCACATCAGAGTGAACGATCATGTGTGCCTTGAGGGTCTGTTTCTGCACAAAACTCTTGTAACAGAGGTGACATTGGTAGGCCCGGATGTTGGTGTGGATCAGTACGTGTCTCTTCATGTTGGCCAACAGAGTGAACTCTCGTCCGCAAATCCCACACTTGTGCTCCTTCACACCCTGGAGGGAGGCAAGATTCAAACACCAAAAAGAATGTGGTTAGCAGGTAACACGCTTTCACCAGCCTTCTAGCCTTCACTTTTCTCTCCGCCACATAAGTCCACGAAGAGCTTGGTGATAGATGTTGAGTTCCGAATGGTGTGGCTTGAGCCTTGTTAAATTGCTATTTTGTTGAAAAGTGTTGATTACATCATCTTTTTAAATTCTGAAAACCATAAACTACCCGGACTGTTAGAGGAAAAGATAGCTATTGCTTTTGTTGTTCCTGCTGCTGCTGAGGTTAATTCCACAGCAACAGTTCCCAAGGATTAACAGGATTTGGGTAAGAGCACTGTGGGATGATATGCAAAATGAGTCTATAATCTGGCTTTCATGATAATGAAAAAAATAAACTTCCTAAACTGATAATATTATTCCCTACATGAAAACCAGTGTTCTCTTGAGTTCTCATTAATGAACTTGAAAGTCCCAGAACAACAACTTATATCTACACGTCAATAAATTACAACTTGATAATCACCTCTTAAGATGGTCTCCTGGGTCCCCACAGGCCACAGTGACCTCTGTGTATTGTGTGATTTGGGTATGGAATCTCCTCTAAGCTGGCTTCTGTCTTATGAAGAAATTTGGGGGAGGACAGCTTTCTGAATTAGAAAACAGGATAGAAGGAGGTTTTCTAGTTCCCTCGCTGTTTGTGAAGAAGTGTTTGAATACTTAAGCATCGATACCCTCAGTTGAAAGCATTTCCAAGGACTCACAGCATAAGTAGAGTATTAGCTAATGCTGACTACCAATGCTTCCCTGAAAAGGCCTTTGCAAGAGATCTTGACCCAGAATGACTTTTTGGAAGGAAAACTTAGAGAACCATGGCATTAAAACTAAGGTAGTGCAGGTTTAGAACAAGTTGCTTAGCTAACAACTGTATTGTTCTATATACCCATATTGACTGGTATCCATAGTGACCTATGGGGGAGGGATTCCATGCTTAGCTCTGATTGTCTCTGACTACATTTCCATTTCTTTAACTTGGGACATGGTAGAAAATTACTGCTCCTCAGTTTTGGTGAACCCATGGCACTAAAGGGTGAGTTCAGGTCTCTGCCCAGCCATTTACTGGCTGCATAACCTAAGACAAGTCTTGTGGCCTTTCCTGGTGAAGGCTTCCTCATCACAAGATCAAATGGTGGGTCATGAGAACCCGGGGACTCTTTCCAGCTGGAATGCTCTCAAGTCTAGGTGATTGCGGATGAGTATGGATTTATGTTAATGAAGAGATCTAAATTTTAATGCCCTTCTAGAAGATGAATTTTAAAAACATGTTGCATATTCAGTGAATTAAAATTACGAAATTAATCAAAACTATTTTCTTGATAGGTTGTAAAATTTACTTCAGCATCTTTCTTCTCAAGATTGCCTCTATACTTGGCTATGATCTAGTTGTCCTGGGACCAAGAAGAAGTATCTACTTAACACTGTTATTAAAATTCTCTAAAGGGAATTCTAAGTCCAAAGAAAAATTCGCATGTGGGCTGGCCTAGACCCCAAGTAAAAGGGAGTGTGGACACGACTTTGCGGAGCAAAGGAAGCTGCTGTGTCTCTAATAGGATTAGTGAAGCAACAGAGGAGAAGCCTGCAGGGCTTATTAGGGATGAGGGTAGAGAAGAAGCACTGCAGCCAGCAAGGCAGGGGCTCCCCTGAGGGAAGCACAGGCCCTGGCGGACCTGGGCCAGACTCTGTTCCCTGAGCGCACCTGCATGTGAAGCAGGTCTCACAGTTGAGGAAGAAAACAGCTCAAAATGTGGCCACTGCTTCAGCAGCAAGAGACCAAAAGAATTCTCTAGAAAAAGGCTCTGATTAGTATATCCCAGGCACAGAGCTGGTCTTGGGTAGGTAGGGCCTGATGACACACTCAAGCTAGTATCCCGGATAAAATTTCCAGAAACAGAATTTTAGGGATTCTAGGAGGCTAAAAAGCAACAGCACAGAGACCAGCTGTTTCCTTCATCCTTCCTCACCTCCTCTCCAAACAATCCACATTATTTATTTCTAGGCCCATCTCAGACTCGTAGAAGGCTGCATGGGAAATGACTTGATTGCTAGTCTCTTCATTCTCCCCCATTTCAAGGCGAGGAAGGACATGAAGGGCTCAGGGAAGGGAAGCCCCTTGCCCAAGGTTACACATCTCCTCAGAATTAGCCAGCAGCGCAGGTCTCCTGGCCCCTCATCCCCAAGGCTCTGCTCATTTCCCCCCTGGCCCAGACCCCAACTCCTCCCCGCGCCATCGTCCCAACGGGCTGAGTACCTTGTGGGTGAGGGAGTGCTGCTTGAGGTGGTGGGGCTGCACGAACTCCATGCCACACTCGGAGCAGATGTACGGCCGGATGTCCTTGTGCTTCATCATGTGGTTCTGCAACTGGCTCGGGTACTGGAAGGTCTTGTCACACTCGGAACAGTTGTACTGGATGGGGCCCCGGTGCGTGGTGAGGTGCCTCTTCAGCTGGGCCAGTGTGGGGAAGTCGAGGCCGCACTCCACGCAGATGTTCTCCCGCCCACTAGCGTGCTTGGCCTCGTGGGCCTTGAGCTCGCTGGGGTAGGCAAAGCCCCGGCCACACACGCGGCAGTTGTGCGGCTTCACCTCGCTGTGCTGCATCATGTGGCGCTTCAGGTGGCTGGTCTGTGTGAAGGCCTTGTGGCACACCTGACATTTGTGGGGCCGCGTGCCCTGGTGGGTCAGCATGTGGGTGTGCAGATGGCTGAGCTGCTTGAAGAGCTTCCCGCAGCGGGTACACGCGTGCGGCTTGATCCCGCTGTGGCCCAGGATGTGAGTCACCAGGTTGTACTTGGAGGTGTAGGACTTCTCGCAGTTGGGGCACTGCCAGCGCTTCTGTGCCCCGCCCACATCCACATAGTAGCTGTCATCGATCTGCACGTTCACGTCCACCCTCTCCACCTTCTGCTTGGTCTCCTCGCTCTCCTGGGGCTCAGCCTTGCGGGACAGCTGTGGGTCTGGAGGCTGCTTGGGCAGGAAGGTGTGCCGGCTGAAGGGGAAGGGGGAGGCCGAGGGCATGAAGAAGGGGAACATGAGGCCCGGGGGCACTTTAGGGTAGTAGGGGTAGGGCGTGGGCAGGAACGGAGCGGGTGTGGGCTGGGGCCACACGGCGCTGGGCTTCACGGGCTCCTGCTTGACGGGTTTGCCCCCAAAATGCTCCAGGGTGCGGTAGAACTGGAAGCCCACGTTGCACAGGTCGATCATTTGCGAGTCATACTTGGGGCGTGGGGGCTGTGGGAATAGCAGAGGGAAGTTTGGGGGGCCGTGGTTTTTGCTGTCCTCGGAGTGGAGGGCAACAGCGGCTTCTCCCTCTGGGTGGTTATAGGGCATCTTGGTGGGCACTCTCTTCCGTTTCCGAGACCCTCCTCCTTCGAAGACCCCTGGGAATCCGTCTAGGTCTCCCGGAGGAGGTTCATACCGGAACTGGGAAAAAGGCCCCCGGAGGGCTTCTGGGAAAGGGTGCCTTTGGGGAGCTTTCCCTCGGGAAACCACTGGCTGCAGGCAGTGGGGAAAGGAGGGGGCCCTTTTCACACCCAAATTGAAATGCACATCCTCGTCTTTGATCATCTTCATTTCCTTCTGCATCCTTGGCAATTTTCCTTTAAAGAGAAAGAAATGGGTTTTTGTTTTGTTTTGTTTTGTTTTGTTTTGTTTTGTTTTGTTTTGTTTTGTTTTGTTTTGTTTTGTTTTGTTTTGTTTTGTTTTGTTTTGTTTTGTTTTGTTTTGTTTTGTTTTGTTTTGTTTTGTTTTGTTTTGTTTTGTTTTGTTTTGTTTTGTTTTGTTTTGTTTTGTTTTGTTTTGTTTTGTTTTGTTTGTTTTATTATTAAAAATCCCCTTTTCCATTAAGGTTTTGGCTAGATGTCAGTACTAATTTATTAAGAGTAATGTTTGCTTAATGCTGACCCTCATTTACTCTAAGGTTGTTCAAAATAGCTCTGTGTTTTCCCCTTACAAACCCAGTTACTAATGTGGAGAGCACTGGCCCCCTGGAGTGGGACCTTAGGACTCCAGTGTAAATCCTCAGCCAAAGAAGCTTGGGGGTTGAGGAGCTGTGGGAGTGAACTGGATTGGGAAGAAGAAACCTGAGAACTTGTTGCACCATTGTCCTCACTGAAGATGAGGGTACCAAGGTGCAGAGAGATGAAGTGACACTCTCAAGTCCTACAACAACTAGTGTAGGTGTCAGAACTGGGGCACATTCTGCTGCAACTTTTCAGCCTGAGATGCAATTGCATGTCTTTTAGGTTCTTTTTTCTCTAAGGGAACCAATGATTTTCACTGCTTCTCTCTGTCTTGGGGCCTTAGCTGCTGGAAAATGGGGATATTCAGGGCCACATAGGAGATGGGACTTGAATGCTTAACTCAGATCTCAGCTTTATGAGTATCCACCCCAAGAAAGGTACACTGCTGGGGTATAATGAGTGGACGAGATCGATGTGATTAAGAAAGGCATATAACCCAATGTTATAAAATCACCTTGATGATTTATGCATCCAAATCTTCCACATGAAGCAACATCAGGGGAAAAATTCCAAGACTGTGAGTGAGTCCCTTAAACAGCACTTGCATCTCTCCTTTCACAAAAGTGTGAGTAAAACTCAGCCTTTGGTAACTCCTGTAGTGCCTGACATTTCCCTGCTGAGCCAGTTACTAAAGCCTGGAAGAGTCTGTGGGGCCAGAGTCTAAAACAGGAGCCATGCTTCCTTTCACATGTCTCCTTGTCATTTTTCTATCTTCTTCACATAGACACTGGTGGAGAGAACTAAGTGACTGCCTCCACATTTCCAGGGAGAGCCTTTTTTACCCAAATCCTCTGAGTTTGAATGAGATTGGTTCCTTTTGCTCATTAGAAGATTCCTCAGAGCCAGTTTCTCTGGCCAGGTCTAAGGCCTGGCCTCAGGTCTCTGGAGACAGGGCTGGGATAGGGTCCTGGACTAACTCAGGGCCCTGGCCCTCGGCAATGGTTACACGCTGAGCAGTACAGGTTGAAGGTCGCAGGGGTGAGAGGACCAACAGCTTCCAATGGTTTTCTGTAGTCCTTAGTGAGGCGAGCTCAATTTTTACAAGTACCTAGATATTCCCAAATCGTATGTGTGTCTTTATGAAAGGTTTGACAACTGCAGCACAATTAAAACAAAAATGGGCCTTTGCATATTGGATTATCAATTCCATACACAGGCGATCCAACCGATAGAAAAAATATGTGCCCTTATCATGTGAATATTTGGGCACTATTTAAAACTGTTATGTGAAAGTGTCAGAGAAATGACAAATAATATCTATTAATCTTTGTTTTGCGTTTATGTGACAGGGAAGAGAGCCCTGGTTTGTCTTCTTTCCACGGGTTTGGGGCTTAGTAATTAAGAGGGAGAGCTCGCGTGTCCAGAAAAAGGGAGGCCAAGGCCTGTGTTCTATCCTTCTGCTTCTTTCTAAAATTATTACCTATATGTTAGATGTTCTACCAATGCCGCCTTAAGAACCAGGCACCTGTAGTAAGTGCAGTAGGAGAATGAAATGTCTAGCTTTATAAGACTGGGAGGGGTGTGGGAAGGGCATTGAAATGAGGGGAGTGGTGCTGTCACTATTGAAAGGACTAGGACAGGATGGAGAGGGCAGAGGCTCTTGGATGGTTTTTCGTGTTTACTAGATTGTCTCTTTGCCCTAAATTCACATGGAGTTAAGGAGAGATTATGGCTCTGCTCCAAGAATTTGTTGCATCTATAGAAATAATTGGCTTTCAGACTAGGCAATGTGTCCAATTGAAATGGAGGAAAAGTGGCAGCTCCTTTCTCTGGAATTTCATTTTGGCCATAGTTGGTTTTATACCCTCTTCCGAGATAAGATCCTATTTGCAAAAAAGGCTGCTCAGACTGGAGACAACTCTTCCAGGCTACAAGCGACTGTGGCAAACCATAGCAGAAACCATCCAAATGCGAACTGGTTGTCTGTTTTATTCTGATCTGTTTAAAAGAGGCAGTGATTCCTACTTTATATTAGAGAGCTTGATTGGAGAATTAATAAAGAAGAGCCATGTCAGAACATGTGTCAGAACTTATTGATTTTTTTTTTTGCATATTTTATTGTTAAGTATTTGAAAATGCTTGGCTAATGATGTCATACCTTTATGCTATGTTTTGTATCTTATGCTGGAAAGCAACTTAATTGTAAAGGACTGTTATCACTAATTTTGAAACTGAAGTTATTCAATTTAAACACATTATGATTGCCTTTGATTCATATTTTTGTTTTTTATTGTGACACAGTCTACTAATTGACTCAATATATCAGGAGTGATATTTGTAATATAATGCTATGTTCAAAAGCATATTTATTTTCAGTGTTTACATTTTTATTTTCTCATCATTGTCTTGGTATAGCAAAGAAACATAGTTGAACAGAAGAAACGTGTTTTTTTTTCTTTTTTTTACATAAACGGCAGAATTCTGTCCTTCAAACACAGAGACTTTACATATGTACATTTTAATTTTCTCCCTATTTTAGTATGATAAAAATTTTCCCCCAGTTTCTGACTTGTGCATATACACACCCCACACCTAAATTAGTAGTTATTAACTCAGGAGATTTAAAAAAGCATTGGGAAACATCCATGGACATTTTCCCAGATCTTTTAAACAGCAGTCCCCTTTTGCATAAAGATCTTAAGAAGCACTGCCAATCCTTACAGAGGTCAAAAAGAGCTAGATCTGTTTCCTGTCAGCCTTCTTGAGAGATAAATCAGCTGTAGTTGCTGCTATTTATTAATATCCCTGTCTTCTGAGCACAGGGTGTTAAGGACAAGCCATAGGGGGTAAAATAAAAGAACCAAAAAAAAACAAATCTATATTGGGGAAGGGGGGTTTGAAGAGAAGAGCAGGGAAAAGACATCTTATTCAAGAGGTAATTTATCTTGAAACCAGTCAACTTAAAAATCTGAGCAGCCTGTGCAAAAATATTAATAGACTCCTAGAGAACCTCAGTGTGTGCCACCCATGTGCTCTCCTCTATTTCTAAAAGTAGGTCCACAGACATCCATGACAGACATGGGATTCCTATGCAAGAGGCAGGAGAGGCTTGGGGGCAGCAATGATCCACGTGGGCAGGGTAGGCGGCGGGCAGGGGAGCTGCTGGCCCTCCCCTAGTCAGTAATCTGCTGGCTGCTCCCAGAAAATCAGCAGGTTGTAGGATAGTTGCCCACCAGGACATGCTAAAACAAGAAGCAAAAAGAAGTAACTGAAATGGTAAAAGTAGATAGATATGGGATAGTGGAAAGAGCATTGGTTTGGAGGCTGAGGATCTGGGCTTGAATGTTGGCTTTGTGTTGGCAGCTATGGAAAACTGAGCAAGTTAATTTGGGAGTTTGATTTTCTCATTCATGAAATGGGGGTGGTGGTGGTGGGATTTCCACACTGGGTTGTTGGAGACTTAAAATAGAGTGTGTATGTGAAAGTGTATTAAAAAACAAGACAGTGTGGTGCTCTTGAGGGGTAAGAAAGAGTGGGCAGGAGAGGAGGGCTGAGGTAATGATCAATGGATCAGTGCTGACTGACATCATCTCTGTTTTCAAAGCTGAAGCTCTTGTCACCATTGACTGGTATTTGGACCTCTGTTTTGCAAGTTCAAAACCAAGACTTTGCCCATTTACCTTGAGTTGGTCTTGTCCTGCAGTGAAGGTGAACCACAGTTAAAGAGGCCAGTGGGTAAGGCCAGGGTGAGTTTCTTCATTCAGTGTGGAGATGAACTTTCTAGTTTACGAATACTCCTCATCCCTTCTCTATGGCTGTCTTTTCTCTTATGGAGGTATTTTCAAGCCTACATTAATAACAGATCACTTTGGTGAATGGGGACAAAAGGGATCTTGTGAGTTGTCTCATCTGGTTTATAGGAAGCTGAAAAATTGCCCCTAGTCTCATATCAAAGGTCACTTTCCTAGAGACAGGAGGACCTGTTTGTCAAACCCAAGGTCTCAGACACTAGTATAGTGCTGGATCAACACTGGCTCTTGCAATTCCTGCGAGACTATATGGGCAGGGACTGGGTCTGTTTTATCACTGCCATGTTTTGGGTCTCTAGCATGGTGCCTGGTGTAAAGTCAATGCTCAGTAAACTGCTGTGGAATGAGAGAAGGAATGAGTGGTTCTTGTTTTTAAAGTCTCCATATGGAACTTTAAAATATATGATTTTATCTTACATTATTTAGACTGCAGGTGACTTTTGGGATGTGCCTAATCAGATCAGGAGCACACTCACAAATTCTCAGGTAGTTATTTTGGGAAGAACTCAACATGCATACTTTGTGTATGCTGTTGCTTACCCTCCTCAGTTTCCAAAGGCAACATTCTCTGAGTGGACTTCGGATTTGAGATAAGTCCTAAATCCCGGCTCCGCTAATGCTAGGGAGCCATCCTCAAAGTGCCACAAGGTTCTGCAACCAAGTCAGAAAAAAGATGCCTGAAAAGTACAATGAACAGTAGGAGATAGAAAGAGAGATCCCTGGATTGAGAATGTGAAGCATAAACCAAGAGTGGGTAGTCTCCCTGTACCCTTCCACCCAGAGGAAATGTTTGGGAAGTTAGTGGCAGTCTACCCTTTGTACTAATGT